ACACGGCAGAATATAAGGCAAATGTAACACTAAACGTATAAAAATTTTGACACATATACATTAACATGATACATATGTATGCAATTTAATACTGCATTATATATTTTATTGCTTCAAATAGGAGCAACTCAATTAAATTGAAAGAAAATTGGATACACTAATTCTGTGAGTAATTGATTTCATTTCATTATTTTTACTTTTTATAGTTTTCTAGCTCAAGCACTAATTCAAGTTCCATTAAAGAGGAGGACTCAAAATATTTTACTGTATGTAATAGACAATATTATTTTACGTCAATTTTCAGATAGGAAAACGTCATTAATTTATTAACAATAAGAGCTGTGAACCCAGCCAAATACGCCTTACAATTAATAGATGTATAATAGATGTATTGTTCTCGGATCAAGAAATTTCCACTTCATGCTACAGTGGTTCATCGAGAACAGACAAACCAGGGCTGGACCCTGCCAAAATTCTAAAATTAGAAGGTAATTATTTGTCAATTATAATGATTAAATATATTTAATTATTACAATAGAATGTGTCAAGAAAGTATTTGGCAACAATATGTTTGTGGAAAACGCTGGAATCATAAAGAGGAAATGCACACAAAAATGTTTGGACAAGGCAAGATTTATTAAAAGAGAAAAAAAACGAAACAATTTTTTATTATTTTTTGATTATGTATTTTAGATCAGATAAAATAATATCTTGCCAGTTTGTGTCATGTCAGATTATGCAATATATTGCCAGATTGGGCTATGTCAGATTATGCAATATCTTGCCAGATAACATGATCAGATCATGCAAATTCTAATAAGATAGGGAAAACAGATCATGCATTATCCAACTTGTTTTTGAAGTCAGATCATGCGAAGTCATGCAAGAAAGACAGATAAGATCTGACATGATCTTGCATAAAATAAGACCTGATTATGCTCGATTTTGGAACTTCTTGTCCAATAATCTGATAAGATCATGCCTGATCATTAAGAAAAGATCTTAGCAAGTTTTTTACAAGATCTTAAACAAGATCTTACGTAAGATTTTTTTGCTGGGTATGTCTAACTTGTGTGCCACTTGAAAAGAGATATGTGGACTGATTATAAGAAGTGCCAACATGCAATTAAATGAAAAGAAAATGAGGTAAGTTAGTACTGTCATAACACAAGTGTTATATTTAGCAATTTCAGGCAATGCAAAAGGCACCAGATCACAGAAGTCTTGTTAAAAAGGAAAGGGAGTACTATAAGGATGTATTAAAACTGGCACAATTATTGTTAAAAGGGCTGTATACTTGTATACTGATGCGGCAAACAATTATAATCCTCTACTAACAAGGCCACTTCCTACGTTAATTATTAAAGGACATTATAGCTTTGATTATGCTCAATAGGTCACATGTTATGACATTACAGTGTATCTAGCTTACTTACTTTTTTCAAGGTTCACTATCCTTCAAGTCTACTACAAGCAGGTCCAATTTTTTTTCTTACTTCCAGGAAATGCAGCATTTTTGGTGTGTGTTGTGAAGCTATCCCTTAGCAGGTTAATTTCTTGATCAATGAATGATTCGACACTGGCAAAGGGGCAAATCCTGTCATAAGCATGGTACATTGTTATTGAAGCAGCACGGCCTCAACTCAGTCAATATCCATTTCAATGCTGACAACTGCAGAGGGCAAATAAAAATAATACAGTTATTCAAGTAAAAATAATACATGTACAATAATAAACATTTTAAATGTAATTCTTCATTTATTTTAGTACCTCTGACATAGAGTCGTGACAGGACTCTATGCATTCATTTCAATATCCTTTTTGCCAGTTGGACACAAAATTTTCTCCAGACTGTTTCTTTGGACTATTTAAGCAAAAATTCCATAAAGCAGAGGTGGACTCATTGGATGACTTCGTTCAAGTTGTAGAACAATCATCTGCTGTTAACAAAGCCTAACCAGTATGAAGTAGCAATGCTGAACTAATTGTAGAAACATTTGACTAGTCAAGTTACTTTGCTACATTAGTCAAGAAAAGAAAAGGCATGATAGGATTTCAACACTTTGTTGTAAATGCGACCTCACCTGGTTTAGTTGCCGTCAGACAAGTTGTAGACAGCCCAGTCACACAATTCAATTAGCTGAAAGAGGATGCTCAAATAATGGAAGATGATATGCCTGATGTATTGCCACCAAAGGGTATGTCAAGTGAAAGAAAATGGTACTTTTACAAAAAGATAAGATTGTTTTGCTGATACAAATGTAAAATTGTAACCTGCCCACTTCCTGAGGCACCTCAACCAGCAAGATCATCTCGACAATCAACACCAGGTGTTGATGATCCACATGACCTCGCAATTGAGATCAAAGTACCACATTCTCAAAGGTTATCTTTAGAACAACCTACAACACAAAGAAAATGTGGTAATTGTGGTCAATTTGGTCATAATAAAAGAACTTGTCCATGTAATCAGTAAATGAATAACAGAAATGAGTTTGTGTAATCACATACTATTGATCGCCTTTTAACAGGAGAGGAACTAGTCTGTCTACAACAAACAGACTATTGATCCCCTGAAATAGGAGTGGAACTAGTTTGAATGCCAAACAATCAAACTATTGATCCCCTGAAACAGGAGTGGAACGAGTTTGAAAGCCAAAATATTCAAACTATTGATCCCCTAAAGGAGAGGAACTCATTTGTAACTCTAAGACATACAAACTATTGATCCCTTGTTTGAGATCAAAGGTGTGGAACAAGTATGTGTGAGACGTCAACATAAACACAAATACTCATTTTCGTTTGAAACTTACTAACTCAAATAATAAGGTCGAGAGAAAGTTAGTCACCGAGTTATCATGCAGGTGATTTGTGTTTATCTGCACTGGTGAGAGGACTGATAATAAAATCGTGTGGGAGGAGAATACCAAAATAGAAGTCATTGCGTCATTCACAGCCAATCAAAGAACATCAAGTGTCAACTGTGACCTTTTGGATTTAAAATTAGACACCTAAAACTGTAAGTTCAAAAGCAAAAATAATGGCTGCCCCAATATAGGATGTCTTCATTGAGGTCCATCCATCTGATAGTAAGTGAGGAATGTGTAACCCTATAGTTACAACTATATTGCCTTTTGTTTTTGGTAGATAAACTTGGTAATTTGATTGTACATGTATGTTTTTTTTGCAAAAAAAGAAGTGAGGGTGAAAGAGAAGAAAGGAGACAGAGAAGAGAGGACGGAGGAGAAAGGAGACAGAGACAAAGAGGAGACTGGAAATAGTCGAAAGGAGAATGGTAAGATTGAAAGATGAAACATACAACTATACATGACATTGTTTTAAATGGAATAAACGGCTTAAGTAAGTTTATTTACATGTGTGATTGTGTCAACATTTCTGTAGTGAAGTAGCTGTAAGAAGGACTATTAAACTAAAACGTAATTTTGCATTCTATTTTAGTTAGTTCTATTTACAACAAATCAACAAATCCCGTCAAGCATGTTGTTTATTATATCCAGACGTCAGGACCGCCACAATCTGCTCGAACTCGACGACGTTATCCCGAACGGTTAACAATCGTTCGTTCACATGATGAAAATGGGAATCATACGTCCTTCCTCCAGTCATTGGTCCTCTGATTTTCATATGGTCCCTAGGAAGACTAGTGGTGATTGCTGACCATGCGGGGACTATTGGGCTGTCAATAGGATCACATTGCCTGACCGTTATCCCATCCCACACATTCAGGATTTCGCTTACAGAGTAGTCATATTTTGTGCAAGCTTGATCTAATTCGTGCGTACCCTCAAATATCCATTGCTACAGAGGGTGTCTACATAGATAATAGAGTACAGAGGGATTGGAAATGGGGCATCTCCGTATACATCGCTAGGATACGGATGCTAGTTGACATTTGCATCTAGCAACGGAGGCTGTCTTTGAGCAAGAACTGTCTTTTTGAGACCCGTCATTCCAGCAGTGGTGTCACTATACGTCATTATTTATATCAAAAGAAGCATAAGAGACTGGCATCTATCCCCAGACTAATTTTTATGTTGGTAGCATCATCATTTGCACTGAATATTTGCTCTGGAATGAGAATGCTTAGAATGACATTTTGTTTTGTACCCTTATCTCAGTAGTGTTAGACAAAAGACAATAACTGATTCAACCACTCAATAGGGATTCATAATGTGGAGGTTGCCCTCTGTTTCGTTTAGAAATATGATTGCATCTTGCTGTTACAATAGATTTACTGATTAGTTTGAGAGGTTTGTTTTGTACCCTTAACATATAAACCAAAGGGTCTGTCACACTAACTATCACACCATCGTATTGCTTAGAACACACAGGAGGTGGCTGGCACTATTTCTATTCAAAAGTTATGCAAAACAAAATATAGAATTAAATTATAGTAAATGTGATCAATAATGACTGCTAATTCATAAAACACTGAATTAAAACTGCAAATAGATACATTGCTACAACAGACAGCTTGGGCAAACAGGAAGCCTGTCTTTCTATATTATTTAGGGGTTAACTATACAAAATAAAATTTTTATGCAACAAAACCTACTGCTTACATTATTGCCCCCCATGATAGACCCTATATCTACCATTTTCCTAGTAATTAGAGTATAATACGGCATACCACTAATTTGCGCGTAGTAACATGATAGCAACAAACTAGTGACTAGCAACCACAGCTAGCAACAAAAGTACGCACTGTACTGCTACTGCTTACATGATTCCAGTTTCTTTTCCATGCGAACTGCACTCTCCTTGTCTCATAAGCTTATTATTGCAACACATTTGATTACATAAAGGTAAGAAGACAATTATATTGATTTCAAATAACAATATTCATAACTGAATATACAGCTTAGTGCAGCAGGCTCAGTACTGCATCATTAATATTTTGTTCATCACTATTCCACAGATCATGTCCAGGAAGAAGTGCTTCTTTAACAGAAAAAAAAAACAAAAAAATTATGAGGGTGAATCAACCTCAAAAGAGCCCTGCTCCAAAACTTATCAGTCCAAAACCGAGTGTGAAACAGCATACATCATGTACAGTCCAACAAAAAATAGCTGCACAACAATCTCTCTTACCAGATGGGTGGTTAATAGTTCAAAATTCTCATGACATTATGATGTTGTGTTATATACGGCAGTATAATTCACATCCACAGATATTATTCACAGTCACAGTCTATCCAAACCTAACCTACCGTATCAGAGCATTTAATCACCTCACTATAAACATTCCTGATGTACTCATAACTAATGTAACTCACCTAATCACCTTGCTCACATATCTAGCAGCACTGAAAGTATGCCCCGGCAATTCTGATTCGTCTCTTTTACAATTAGCAAATGGCAGAAAAGCCAATAGCTTCACTGATAGACAAGGTAAGATTAAAATGTATTGATAAATGACTTACATTAACTCAGGTCAGGTTGTTGCAATTCTTCAAAATATTCCCTTCCTAACAATAGCCATGTTAAGTGTCCAGTATTACATGATAAAGTGACACGTTGTTCAGATTGCGTTTCATACCGAAGAAAGTTACTTGCAATAGCATCTAAACGACCACTCCAAACAGATAAATAGGTTTCAAAACAAATCATCGACATATAACTAAACCATTGATGCTCAAAAAAATCCACCAACTCAAATCTAAAGTAAAAGAACAGGAAAAATATATAAAGAAATTAGAAGAAAAAATTGAAAAAAATCACCGCTCAATCACTTTGAATGAAAATCTTCACAGCAGCCTCTTATCAATAATGCATGAACACCATCAAGACATTCTGAATAACCATCCAGAAGGTAGCTTCGCAGAATATTCTGGGAGAATCAATATAAAGCAGCATCGAAAATGTGCTCTACACAATTTCGCTGGAATCCTGCAATTGTAAAGTGGTGTATCTTTTTGAGGCACAAATCCTCTAAAGCATGACTTGCTTCAAAAAACTGGCATCTTACATCTTCCCTCTCAGCGTACCCTTAGGGATTATACGTATGCATTTAAAAGCACAAATGGATTCTCTACAGAATTAGATACACAGCTAGTGAATGATTATAACATCTCAGCATTAGAGCCATTTCAGAAATATGTCAGTATCATTGCTGATGAGATGCATATTAAAGAGGGCTTCATGTATAATAAGCACAATGGTGAGCTAGTTGGTTTTTGTGACCTAGGAGAAATAAGTAACCATCTAATTTCCCTTGAAAAAGAATATCAAACACACAAAACCGCCAAAAAACAACTAGCATCAACAATGATGGTACTAATGGTGAGATCTATCTTTACAAGTTTTATCTTTCCTTATGCTTCTTTTCCTGCTTCTAACCTCACTGGCAAAGAACTAGTTCCTATTTTCTTTGAAGCTCTTTTCCGTCGTGAGCGCTGTGGCTTAAATGTCACATCAATTACCATGGATGGAACTTCTGTCAACAGAAAATTCTTCACAATAGTGGGTAGCTCAAGTTCCAAACCATTAGCATATAAGTTTAGCAACCCAATAAATGAAAACACAGAAGTCTTCTTTTTTTCAGACCCTCCACACCTGATAAAGACTGCCAGGAACTGTCTACAAAACCCCAAAAGACATATGGAGGTAAAAATAACTAAAATTAATGATTCAGAATTTAAATAATTTTTATAGATAAATGGGAAACAAGTCAGTTGGAAACACATTGAGAGCCTCTATAAAAAAAGTGTGGAAACAACTGGTCTCACTATTATTCCAAAAATAAAACACGAACACATATATGTGACACCATTTTCTAAAATGCGTGTTGACCTGGCCGCTCAGGTTTGTAATTATGATAAAATATTTAGTAATGACTATAATTTATGATTGTAGGTATTAAGTGAAACAATGGCTAAAGCACTTACATTCCATTTCAAAGAAAAAGCAGAGGAAACGGCAAAATTTGTGAAATACTTTGATAAATTCTTTGACATGTTTAATGTCACCAACTATACAAAGTGCTATAAAGAAAGAAAAATGTTTCAAGCACCATACAGAATGGGAAATGACAGTAGACTTGAGGTAATAAATGTCAATAAGTAAAGCTTATAATTATCAATGCATAACAACAATAATATACAGTGGCTGCATGCAATCAGTATTTCTTCTCTGGTTAAAATCATGGGAAGAACAAGTACAGACAAGGATAGACCTGAAGGCTAGTGAAAGGAAAAAATTGCTACTTAGTGATGAAACACTTCTAGGTGTTCGTATGTCAGGTAATAATAACTTAAAAACTACTTGTACATGTATAATTCAACTTTAACTTATAGCTTACTCACTCATTGATTTGGTAAAGTTCCTGTTCACTATTCCCAGTGTTAATTCATTTTTAAGTGAACGTCTGTCACAAGATCCTTTGGAAAATTATTTTGGACAGCAGCGGCAGAGAGGAGTCAATGAGAACCCTACCTGTGACGAGTTTTTAAAAAACAACCAAGCACTGCGAGTAGTAAGCTCCATAAAAGTAAAACTTACCAATGGGAACACTAGAGGTAGTATACTAGACGAAGACAGATTAACATCAGTGTTTACTACTCCATCACCTAAAAGAAGAAAGACCTCACAAATTACAAATCATGCCAATAAACATTATGTTCCTCAATTTTCCATACATGTAGGTGAAGAAACAACGTGCACAAGTAATGATCAGACACCTATCAACAAACCTGATTTATTCAGTGAGTTAAAATAACTTATGACAAATTGTGACAATCAAGTTTCAGGTATCATATCGGAATCTCTCCAAGACCTTGGATTTAATATTCCATCAGCAGAGGCCCATTTCACAAAAGAAACAGCACAAAAAAATAAAAATTTATCTGTTAGGTCCTCAAAAATCAGAGTCATTAGTGTTACTGAAAGGTGAACTAATGCAATCTATAGGTAATATACATGCTTATAGTGGCAGTAATCTAGTTACTTTAACTCAAGAGCAAATTATGGTGCCATGTAGTGAAGTTATTGTGACCATAATTGACAAAAGGGCCCTTATGGTGGATTTTAAAAGTGATCGTTATCATGGAACATATCAACCTGTGAGTGCTTTGTTAGACAATCATTGTTTCTAAAAGTTTCATGGTAACTTTTTGCATGTTGTGGAGTAATTTTATGATAAATGGGGCTCAGAAAAATGGATTTCTTAGGCTAGAAAGACAAATTTCACTACCCGCCATAAGGTACCTTTTGTCAATTATGGTCATGTATGGAAAGTCACACTGTTCCCAAAAAATTACTACCTTATGTTGTTGTTGATTTTCAGAGACTCACACCTCTAATAAATTCATCTGATGTGTTAATTCCAATTCTTCCAGCTGCTGGTGAAGTGGTGAAAGTTATAAGAGACAATTACCAAATTTGGCTGGGACATGTCCTGAATGGTAGTAGCAGGAGCAAAACATTGATGCTATACTTTTATGTAGAAAAGTCTAATGACAATTCACTGTATTGCAGAAAATCAGCTAGTGTATCATGGGACTTAATTCTTAATGTGGCTAATGGAAATTCAGAAGGTCAAAATTGGAGGCCAAATCTTTTAGAATTATTTTCATCATCCACTCTCCCTCTCGTGAATTAGTATATTCTCTCTTTCACCCTTCCAACAATGTTATATTTCTTGAAAATTAATTTAAAGCAGAAAAATTAAGCAGTCAGAAACTTTATTATGTTTGAGAAAACAAACTTTCATTATTTAAAATTCTTGCTGTATAGTAAATGGAAGCTAAATGAAATTATAACAAAAATAATGGGACTTAAAATTCCATGTAGATTTTTATTGTTGATCTGATATAAAGTAAATAGTGTCAAACATAAAATAACAATAATTGGAGTTAAGATTCCATTCTCAATTGCCATTATGGGTGTTAAGTAAATGTTTTCCAATAATGATAAAGTAAAATCACAATAATTGTAAAATAAAATACCAATGGTGCGACTTCAAATTCCTTAAAAGTCAATATTGGGAAATAAAATATCAATAATGGGGAAAATGAATACAATAATGGCAATATGCCAGGATCTAAATAATCTGGTAAAACCCATGAATGGATTTCTTTTATACTTAAGAATTGTATTGTTTCCATTAATGGAATTTGAAATTTTTTCCTGTGTGTATACTTAAAACTTGGGCGAATCAACTTGAAATTTAAAGCCATTAGAAAATGGTCCTGAGCTAGACTTTCACAGGTTACACTACATTGCGATACTTCACTTAAGGCCTTCATCATGTGTGCCGCCATTTCCTACTCTAGTCTATCCCCAACTTTTAGCTTTTCGGTGCAGAACAAAATGTTTGTAACACACATTTCGCTGATTCCAGTTTCTTATTAGCAGACACCAGTTTTCCATATATCTCATTTTTCTCACAAAAGTCAAACTATGTACAAAAAAATGACACATGCGAAGCACTAAATGACAGGAGAGGCTGGTACTTAATTAGTATTGTCAGTTTTCATATACAAACTTAGCATAATTATAGTTTGGGATTGATAAAATTTGCAAAAATTAAATTTCATGATAATATGTCACTTTGCATAATTTTTTCATCAACTTCCATTGTTTCTAAAAGTTACATTGTAACTTTTTGCATCCTCTGGAGTAATTGGGACGAGCATGAGCGAGACCCACTCTAATCTGTCTAGGTCTATTTTGGGTTACATCTTGTTTGTGAACAGAACATCACAATTTATAAATCAATACATTGATTGCATTAACTGGTGTGTTTGCTCTTTTCTGACCAGGGCCATGAGACTGGGTCTGAATATGCATGCAGGCTGGGAGCTTGATTGACTTTATTTAGTTCAATCACATTTCAATTCTTAATTGATGGCTCATGCTCGTCACATCAATGTGTACATTCACTTAGTATCATGATAAATGGAGCTTAGGAAGTTCGATTTTTTAGGATATAAGACCAATTTTCCTATCCAACATAAGGTACCTTTTGTCAGTTATGGTCACATATTACTCTATAAATACTATTTCTTTAAAAAGGACGTTGTAACAAGTAAGCAAAAAATAAAGAAGCAAATACAAAAATATCGAAAAGCACTTGTTAATACTGTGGTAGCGTTACAAAGTAGGATTGTTTCCAGTTGAAAACAGCTGCGTCAAGGTTGTATACTAGGAAAATGAGCTCCTGTACTGACCCGACTTTTTTAGCCCCTAATCTTAGCCAGAGTCTGCCACTAAGTAGTGTGGCTGAAAACCATCTTAAAAGGAAAGTAAAGAACCGGCAAAGGGGCTGTTTAGTTGAGACAATTGTTTTAATCATCTGTCTTGATCCTTGCTGATTAGTCATAATTTTAACAATTATCAATGCACAGGTCCATGTCCAATCAAAAACATTCTTCATAAAAGATAATATGACAGTTGGATCATTCCAACTTACCTCAGGCTCATTCTGCATTTTATTAATCAAAAGGTAAAACTTGGGTTTGGTCTGCTATCTACTGTTTAGGAGTGATCAATATATTGTTTCAATGAACTTGTATGGCAAAACAAGTATTAAACTACACTTTAGTGCAGTTTCAAAGTCATCAGTACAGAATTCGTGCAGCTCACCTTTTTTATCAGAATGCAAGTTTGAAATGATTGCAACAATAATTCATAGATTGCAATAGTTTCTTATCCAACTCCCCTCTGAGGCTTTGGGCCCCATACCTACTGCTTCCAATAATGATTTTAAAAACTCTTTCCTTTACTACAAGCAACCAATATGGTGTGCAACTGTGCATAACCATAGAGGATCACGGGTGTTCAATCACGCCACAATGTCAATAAATACAACAATTATTACTTACGGTACTTTTAAATTTGAATGATAATGTTTCCTCAAAATGAGGAAGTTTTGTAATAGTGATATCATATTCATAGTACAAACCACACAAAAATAACTGTTATAATAAGATAGTATAACACCTTATAAAGCTATGTAACTATACTGCGCATCTCTGAGACACTACCACTAGTACTGCGCAGCACCTGTACAGCTGGACTTATTCAAACAAAGTTGTAGTAGGGTAGTTCTGTGGTCTCTTAATCTCCCTTTTTAAGTTTTCATGGCTACAATTAAGGTATGTAAACATAGACTACATCTTGCTCTACATTATACATTAAATTGAAAGATATGTTATTTTTTAACAAAAAAATTCCAAAAATAAAAATTACAAAATTTTACTGTTTAGTGTGACTATGTCAATGACTACTCATATTTTCCTCTTGGAGAGAGATTGCAGGGTGTGTTGTAAGGTTTTAGGAAAGCAGGAGTATCACTGTTCTCAGAATGAATCCCTATTGAAGAGTTTAGGAGTTGATTTGTCTAGCGATAGTCCTGAAATCCATCCACAGTATTTCTGTAACTATTGCTACTTAACTGCAAAGAAGCACGTGTGTGGTCAGCAAAGCTGTACTACCTTAAGCCCGATTCATTAGCTTCCTCATAGTGAAACAAGCTGTACTGTGTGCGATGTTAAACATAAAGAAGGAAGACCAATGAAGTCATCAAGTTGTTGGCCATCAGCTATCAGTACACACATCACATCAGTTGCCTTACCAATTCCATCATTCACTCTTGATCAATTGGTAGACAACAACTACAAAGATGATGTCACGTGTAGTTCTTGTAAGGCAGCAGTTCAGAAACCTGTAGAGGTTCTACCTTGCAAATCCCTGTACTGTTGCAAATGTGCTCTTTCCCTTACTTTCTCTTCTTCCTTTACCTGCTCTAGCTGCTTGAGTATTCATGAGTCCATCGACAGTTCCGTACAAAACCTTTAAGCTTTGCAGAGAAGATGATCAATGGCTTGTATGTGAGGTGTATCATCTGTGGAATGAATGTTAAAGTTGAATTGCTTGAAGCTGATTGCCACACTTACAAGAAAAGTCAGAGAGGAGCTGTAAACCTGTGTCGGAATTGCTTCCCCAATCACACCAGACAATCACTGTATCAACAGGAGGAAGAGTAAGTGCATATGCACATAGTGTTGATTTTTAACCAATCTCTACTTTTAGCCAATTAGTTTAACTAAAGTCTCTTCACATTCAGTCCCATCTGATAAGGCTTCACAACGTACTTTGTGTCGGCGAAGTAAAGAGTTGTCAAAGTTAAGAGAGGACCTTACTGGGGGAGAGAGCCAGCACCAGATTGCTGATGAGATCAGAATGATCCCTAAACAAGAGAGGAGATAACGAGAGAAATGAATTTTACAATTGATATATCTCCAGAGCAATGTCTAGGCATGAAAGCTGATATATGCCTGCCATGGAATAAACTGAGACTCATGAGAAGGTACTGTAAGTACCTGTACCTGTATACGCACAGTTCATGTATTGTTTAATTACATGTTTGTGGTAGTACATCTTCCCAATGACTTTACTCTATTTGCTTTTAGATTAATGAAAGCATGGAGTATCAACATGAGTAGTGAAAAGAAACAGAGGGAACCTATGAAGAACGATTTGGAAGCAGTGAACATTACAGCAGAGTCAGTACCCTTTTCTTTCTTAACACGGCACGGCTATCAGGAGATTCACCCAGCTCCACTTTCCTGTGTAACTGATTTTGCTGGTGTAGTGTTTCATCTACTTGAGGAAAAGAATAGGTAAACTTGCTGCTGTACACTGTATATTGTAAAAAATATAATATTAATAGATTAGGACAACCCACATGGCATGATGAAGTAATACCCCCTAACAAAATATGGATTAAGCTAGGGGGTGACAAGGGGGATTATCTGTAAAGATGTCCTTCCAAATAGTGAACACGGACAAACCAAATTCAGTCTGTAATAGTTG